TAGGGTGGCACTTGTGGGGTGGAAGGTGGCACTGATGAAATGGGAGGTGGCACTTATGGGGTGGGAAGTGGAAGTGCTACTTATGGGGCGAGATGTGGCACCTATGGGGTGGCAGAGGGTGGCACTTATGGGGAGAGAGGTGACACCTATGGGGTGGCAGAGGGTGGCACTTATGGGGTGAGAGGTGGCACTTATGGGGTGTAGGGTGGCACTTATGGGGTGAGAGGTGGCACTTATGGGGTGTAGGGTGGCACTTATGGGGCGCAGGTTGGCACCTGTGATGCAGAAAGTGGCACTTGTGGGGCGTAGGGTGGCACTTATGGGGCAGGAGGTGGCACTTGTGGGGCGCAGGGTGGCAGCTGTGATGCAGAAAGTGTCACTTGTAGGGCAGGTGACACTTGTGGGGCAGGAAGTGGCACTTGTGGGGCGCAGGGTGGCACTTATGGGGCAGGAAGTGGCACTTGTGGGGCGCAGGGTGGCACTTATGGGGCAGGAGGTGACAGTTGTGGGGCAGGAGGTGACGCTTATGGGGCAGGAGGTGGTGGTGGCCTTCCGGCGCCGCCGTGCGATGAGCACACGGCGCTGGGGGGCGGCTGTGGGGCGCTGGGTCGCATCTGTGGGGCGCTGGGTTCCATCTATGGGGCGCTGGGTCGCATCTGTGGGGCGCTGAGTTCCATCTATGGGGCGCTGGGTCGCATCTGTGGGGCGCTGAGCTCCATCTATGGGGCGCTGCATCTCACTTATGGGGCGCTGAGTCGCATCTGTGGGGCACCGGGTCACATCTATGGGGCGCCGAGCTCCATCTATGGGGCACTGAGTCGCATCTATGGGGCGCTGGGTCGCATCTGTGGGGCGCCGAGCTCCATCTGTGGGGCGCTGGGTCACATCTATGGGGCACCGAGCTCCATCTATGGGGCACTGAGTCGCATCTATGGGGCGCTGGGTCGCATCTATGGGGCACCGAGCTCCATCTATGGGGCGCTGAGTCGCATCTGTGGGGCGCCGGGTCACATCTATGGGGTGCCGAGCTCCATCTGTGGGGCGCTGGGTCGCATCTGTGGGGCGCCGATCTCCATCTATGGGGCGCTGCCCCCCCCCGTCGCCCCCCAAGCGGTTCCGTGGGGGGGTTTCTTTGCGCCGCCCCCCGCACCGCTGGCCGCTATGGGGCGGACTTTTCTTCCACGGCCGTGGGTTCGAATCCCGGGGGGGGCAGACGGGGGGGTCCGGGTCCTCCTCCTCCTCCTCCCCGTCCTCGGGGGG